GGATGATATGGCGTTGTCGTTAGTTGGCGGATCGACAATAGTCTGCTCACTTCCTTCATTAATCATTAATTGGCCCCTTGATCGGACAACAATTCACTGGGTACTCCAACACGGCTGAAGATATCAACCAGTGCCTCTGCAATGCGCTCAGTCTCAATGCTTTTAAGTGCTACTGCCTCCGGATATCTAGTCGCGAAATCCACCACTGTCAGTATCAACCGGTTGCCACGGCCTGTTGCAGGTTCGAGAGGACCAACTAAATCCACCGGTATCCTCTTGAAAGGCGTATCGATCAATGGCATACTGCCGAGTGGCGCTTTCGGTACTCGGCCTTTAGGGAAGGTACGTTGGCACACATCACACCAACGACAGAACCGAGTCACATCGCCCTGCAGACCAGGCCAAAAAAACTCTGCAAGAATCCTGTTAGTCGTTCGTTTTGCTGCCAGATGTCCCGACATAATCGACTCGTGAGCTAGTTTCATTATCATCTGTCGATACTTCGTTGGTACGACTAATTGTCTAAACACCTTTCCAGTTGCAATCCCAGGGCTTCTGAACTCTCGATATATTAATCCCTTGTGGTAAAACAGGGAAGACTTACCCCCATCTTCGCGTTCATACGTATCCGATTCCTTTGCCAACTTACGGAACTTCTCCAGGGTACCATCGCTTTGCTGTTCCTCCTTCAACTCCTTCACACTACCTAAACTCGTCATAAACTCCGATACCTGCAACGGTTTCAACGGCTTAGCTTTCCTCTTGACCTCCGCTCTCGTCTGAACCGCATTCAACGAATCAAGCTGCCACTTCTCATCTGGTTGTCCTACCGGAAGGGCATCCTTAACATTTCCAATAATCACATCGTACAAGGGTGACTCTAACAAGAAGGCTTCAGTATCTCCGTTAAAATATGGCATGTCGATCTTTACATTGGCGATTTGGCATACAAGACGAGAACCATCAGCTAAAATGTAAGTCTTGGTCTTGTCGGTGATATTCTCAGGTTCAACTAGACTACGTCTCACTCCTACCTCATCACAACTCGAATCCCGAAGAACGGTGACAACTTTACCGCCCACACGTCCCAGCACCACCGGCATGGAAGTTGTCTCCTTTGTATTGCAGGCGAAACTCATCTTCGGTATGGTGTTGGCGCCACTCGTGTTCCCTTTATCTTCTACCATAGAGGCTGCCTGACCTTCTTTCATCTTGTCAGATTTCTTCTTCCGGCAATCTGAAGCAATATGTCCAACCTTTTGCAATAGAATCAAGTCCTCTTCTTGGGCAAGTCGCTTGAACCAATTGTAGATTTCCCAGGTGTAGAACTTGTTGACGGCGAATGTCATGAAGCTGTTGCCTTATGACTTCCTGCCTTGGTTCCCTTCGAAGATATCAAGTTTGCCGCTTTCGTTCTTCTTGCCTCTGCATATTGATCGGCCAGACTGGACATTGCATCAAGGGACACGGGAATCCGTTCCTTCAGGAACAACATCAGATCCTGGTTACATACCTGTAGAAACTGATCTCTCAAAAACAAGTCTTTCAAGCCTTCATAGATCTTGTTAGTGTCGGCTAGTTCGACCCACCTCTCCAAGTAGTTTTCAAGGCGAATGGAAAACCGTGAAAATGTTTCACTTCCATAGGGTCTTGATGTTCGGAAGCTTTTCCTGAATCCTTCCCCTGTCATATTAAATCTCCTCAGTAATGCCTTCTTAAGTTCGTCAAAATCCAGAGACTGATGGACTGGTAAACGAGAAAACACCGCTAATGCATTAGCCGTCAAAAGAGCGCTAAGGTTAGCTCCCCATCCATCACGTTCCCAATTCTGTACAGTTGCGTACCGTTCGAAGCGCTGGATGTAAGCATCGATGTTGTCCTTTTCTTCATTGAAGGCAGGTAACTTGGGACCCTTCTTTATTGTATCTCTAGGATTGGTCTCCCTCCGACGTCCCGATTTGTCCAATTCAGATTGATACTCCTGTCCTGCACGAATTAATTCCATTTTGCGTTTATGTTCTTCTTCTGCTCTCCTGTCAGCCCGAGCCTCTCTTTCCTCGTCCATTTGCCTTTGCAACTTTTTCTCTTCCCTTTCTCTTTCACGGTCATCTCTTTCCTTGGCTTGCTGCTCTTGAATGAACAATCGTAGTTGGTCGCCTTCAAGTTGAAGTCGCTTACCTGCTTCCAAAATTGCTGAAAGAGAGGACATTTTCAAAACAACTAAATCACTAGACTGCAAAAGATAACCAACACATACAATAATCAATACAACCAGGCATAAGAACTTACCGGAAGTCATGCGTCATCCTTGCTCAGGCCAATTAACTCACCTCAGAGTTCCTGTATAGAGTCCCCAAATGCCAACGTTAAGAAGAGAATGAAAGTAAAGGAAATTTGGCGGGAATCTGTCAAACAATCTAGACTTTGAAACCAATCAAACAGGATTCTATTCCCGAACAACTAACTTTGGCTAATCCCACCGCTGCCACCAAGTTGTTAACGTGGAACGAGCGTCGGTCAGCGATCCGGGGAATGAACACCGAAAAGATTGATTGCAATGACAAATGTTTATTTACAATGATGACCATAAAGAGATTAAATAAAAAACCCTATAATACCCACACGTCACACTCACTAATTCACTCATTCACAAACACAATTATTACAAGTTACAGTCTGTAGCTACACACACAACGACGAATGGGATCCTGGTACAGTTCCGGTACAAGACGATCGCTAACCTGCAACTACGCTCAATCCAGAGCCAAGAGGTATAAACACATCAAGCAGCACCATGCTTGCTTGAAACGCCCAAATTGGCAAACTCACTGGTGTCCAAGACACGACAGGAAAGCTGGGATGTACACACTAGTGTCCTTGACATGACAGCCATCCCAATAGTAGATATACTGTGACTCAGCCTCCAAGCAAGTCGCTGACCCTGGCCTACGTAACGACCCAACACATGTATTCCATGCTGACCTTGACCCTGGTGAAGAGAACTCATCCGGTCGGTCCTGACACTGGAGTCACAATGAGTTGGCACAGCTGACTGGTCCTGGCTTGATAGCTGAGACTCCTAGTCCGTCATGTGAAGCTACAATAATACATAGTTGAAAATAATGCTGTAGTCACACAGATTCACTCTTACCTGGCATACTAATTACTGTGGATTCATTTTCTTTCGTGGGGGTCCAATTTTCGTTGTTTTCGTGGATGAGCAAATCCAAGAATTTAAAAACACAACGAAATATGAACTATTACTAAAGTAATTTTGGAATTTAACCAAGTAATCTTTGCCGACACCGGAAACGTCCACCGGTAATGACAGAAGCCCCGTAATTAGTCGGGAGTCGGGTAGCCCAGGAACGTCAGGCTTTCGCAGATTCAATTTCCCGGATTTTAACCACTGTGTTAACGACATGATGGATAAGATACATAATGATATGTTCATCACTGTGATTTCTTTATACTATCGTCAGTGAGTTGTGTTTTTACTTCATAATTGTTTCGGCAGATCTTGTTTACACACCTGTTTACACACATGGTCCAATCGATACGCGTGGTGTTTTCATATGACTGCGGTACACCGACTGATCAGCACACAATGTTTATCCACTGAAAACAATTGTTTCTGATAATTACCGATTGATTACACGCCTGGATATATACTGATTTGTGGTTTGATATTAATGCGAGACACAGGACGCCATCTTGGAAAAAAACGTTCTTTTATTCTTGTCATCAGTGTTAATTCCTGTGAACATAGCCTTAATACAAACAGAAAAAATTTCGACTGGAAGCAAAAAGAGAAAATTCTAACGTTTTTATTTTTTTCCCACAGAATCAAAAATCCACGAATTTATGAGTCCACGAAACTGTCTAATTTGTAGAAACAACGAAAATTGAACCCAACGAAAATAAATGAATCCACAGTAACTAATAATTAATTATCAATAATATAAATATTCATTAATATATTGTAAATATACGTAAATCAATATAATAAAGATAAAGGGATAAGTGTGCGGCTCCAAATGGCTATAAAAACACGACTCAGCACAATTCATAGAAGTTGGCGTCTCACGGCTTCCATACTTTTTTACCCAGTGCGCGTACACACTCCAACTAACGCTATAACTCCAGCTCAGGGCTTCCATAGAATTTTAAAACGGACAAGAACCCTATATTTATTAAATAATTCTACACACAACAATCTATTATGTTTATATTATCTAACTACACCAGAAATCAATAGGAAGTATGAAATTATAATGATATAGCAGAAACACACCAAAAAACAAGTGTACTACATGTATCAACAATAGTTACGCATGATTGGAGCGCACCGACACCTCGATTGCTTGACCCGATAGATTTGACGGCATGGATAAAATGATGCCAGAAAAAAAATATGGAAACGGAAGAAAGAAACATAACTTACCACAGTCTGTCGTCTGTGCCTTGTTCACAATATAGGAAACAGCTATATTGACATATCGGCTACACGAACTCACAAAACTGTGGACCGTAAACAAGTGTCCATTCCGTGCACAACCGGTCAAGCCCGTGACGTATATCCGCCCAGTGGTGCGGACAATTAAGAGTCCTTACACCGCAAAAAAAAAAAAAAAAAAACTCAAATTAAAACTTACCATTTATAGACAAACTATACATGCTTACGTGACAGTCGTGGTGTACTTGTTTACAGATACGTGTACGTATATAGTTTTTCTACTTCTCGTCATGACATATATGATGCATACAAATGTGTTTAAGATCCCCGCTTTATTTATTACATCACCAATCCCTTAACCATTTGGTTCCTTTTACCGCAACATCGCACACTAAAATTGCGAAATCAACCTGATGCAACAATGTCCGTCGTGCAGCCACTGTGATGTATTTCACGATAATTATGTCAATGCACAATTCGTATCTTTTAACTGGAATTTCTTTCATTTTTATTTGAACTAGCTCTTTCCGGTGGTAATTTCAGCATGTTAACAGCAGGAGTTGTTCTTATGGTTATAGGAGTACTTACGCTTTTGTCAAACATTGGACTCGGAATATATATTCGACGTACGTATATAGATAAGACATCTACTGTTATTATTAATCCGAAACCAATATATATGCAAAGATAAAATCATTGCAACACATGTCATATACATGTTTCATTTAAACGATAAACAAGAATGATTTTTTTTTTCAGGAAATAGACGACTACCTTTTATGTAAGTAAATAGTGTAAACGTTGAATTAATTAATTGGTCTCCATATTAAAACATGTATTTAGGAGAATAGTTGAAACAAAATGTCATCTGGATTTATGCTAATTTATACATACTTTTATATAATATATTTGGTGTTTGTGAAATTAACCACTGTTTCCTGAAAAACGTTTCCATTTTAAACGCAGTCCACTAATACTAATAAAACAGCCACCTTTAATGTTAACAGTCTTCAGACATACTTTTCTTGTTTTGACGATTTTAGCAAAGGTCATCGTCATGAACAAAAGGAATTCCAGAATATACAGCTATCGGAGCAAGGTAATATTAAAGAGCATTTGAGGATACAAGATCAAGAAATGAACTTTAACGTGTTCTAACTGTTTTATTTCTAAGTTTACATCAATTTTATTTCATCTCCATAAGATTAGCTAACAGATATGGCCTTTTACAAATACTAACATGGTTTGTACTTGGCATCCAAAACTTTATACTAATTTATTTCATTTTTTTTTCATTCACAGATGTGACTTCTCAGAGTGATGATGGACGGTAAGATTGTTCGGACAAGCATATATCCTACATCCCTATGCTTTGATAAATCATTTTGTTAATATTAAATCAAATAATGTTACAATTCAGTGAATGTGTTAACTTATGTTTAATGCTACTTCCTTTCTATGCAGATCTCCATATCAACTACTTAATACAGACGCTATTGGTAAACCGTCAATATACTCTGAAATCGGACAGCATGACAATCAAGGTAAGACATATTATTAGCTTATCAAAACTGAAAATTGAATTGTAAATCTGTTTGGATAATTTTGATAATTATTCAACGACAAAATAAGATATCAATATATATCTATCAATTACTTTCCTACTTGTTTAAGTAAAATGGTCCACGTTATGTTCTAATAAACACAATGTTAGTGCACGTTGCGTTGTTTAAAATTGCATCGTTAGAAAAATATGTGAAAATTGTATCACATATTTGAATGATAATAGTTCCTGTTTAAATATCAGAGATCCGGTATATTCATTTTAGTACAGATATTCCAGATGATGCTATTTGTATTTCACAGGTTACCAAAATGAATCAGTCGAAAGCAATGATGACGGGTAGGTAGAAATAATAAGGCGTTATTGCAAGATACTGTATAATTAAAATAAACGCGGTAGTAATATATAATTCAGAAAACAAAAAAAAACAAAACAAAATAATATTCGTATTCTAGATATTGGCAATTAGTGACAAACCACGATTTTAGCTAGGTACACAAAGCTAATAATGTATAAATATGTATCGGTTGAATATTAAGCATTAGAAGTCTTATCAAAATTTCAAAACATTATCTTAATGTTACGGGAATTGCATATTAAATGGAAGTTCCGCAATACAACTGTCTGTATCAATTTTGTTATTTGTGATGAACACAAATTAGAAAACCTGTTCATTATCTGTATAGTTGAGACCCTTAGCGCTCTTTCGTTTTATCAAGAATTGCTATATGCTGTAATAGCCTATTTTTCATTTGTTTAACATGGGTGAAATTTATATTTGGGTCCGACCAACGTTTGAAATAATTTTTTGCTAAATTTCTCGCTTAATCTGTTGTTAAAATGTAACCATTTCAGAATTACATGTATAATTGGTATTCTGCTGCAAGATCTTTCATCATATACTTCTAATTTGCATAAACAGAAAGTACGAGTCGCTAGAAGGGCGTTCGAATCCAAACGTATATGAAGAGCTTCAAGGTACAACTTCAGGTAAGTGATATCTCAATGTTATATAGATTTATCTGGTTTGAATACAACTCTTCCTTAACAGATATATAAACCAGAAAGCACTAGGTTTGAATAATGATATTTTCGAATCTGTTTTTTTTGTCTTTTTTTCATTATAAGTCATCAAAGATAAACGCTTGCATAATCATGATTCTAAACATATGCATAGTACTGGGTCCATATCCCTGAAACCATTTCTCTTGAATGAATATACATTTTGAGTTCAGCTAGAAATGATTTTGTTGATAACTGTAATGTTATAATTAACATTCTCGATGGTTTGAAGGAATTTCAAGACATCAGGTGATATATCATTTTCAATATTCAGGGTTTAAAAATGTGAAGTTTAATATATCCTTCTTTCTTGAGCCATGTAATATTTTATGAATAAATAAATAAACGGAAATAGATATTACACGTATATGACAGAACATGTCTTACTCGCTTGCAGGTAACAGAGGTACATATGTCAACACCAAAATCACCAGTGACCATAAACGTTGATACTGCAGAAAGAAATCAAACCAACGTAACATTTTCGTTATATGCGAATTACAACGCCAAAGAATGAATTAAAAACAATCTTTGAAGATGCTACTTTTTCTGTTGGGAATGTGCGGGCTTTACCTGTCTTTAATCAAACGTTCCTTAGATAAAATAAATAATCACTACAACGACTCTTAATGAATACCAATAGATTAAAGTAATATCTGATAGCATGTGTTCTGGAATATTGAAATTCTTTTGCGACGTCAGCGACAATTCCAGTAACAAAGACGATAAAACACTAAATAAACAGGATTAGTCACAATAATAATACAGATCAATTATACCATAACGATTGAAAATTCCTTTAAAAGATGGTATTTGAAATTTATAATATTATCGGCTTCAGAAAGTTACATATTCTAACTTGTGCTACGATAGTTTCCCTTACCTTTGGATTGTGCTAAATGGAAATAATGCTGTGTTATATAGGACTGGTGACTGAAGAGTCGCTAGTTCGACTGCTGGTACAAGCAAGATTAAGATACTTCATTCTGATTATTGCAGTTGTTTCCGTCGTAAGTGAATGAAAACTGTATATGTTGAAGTAATAAAGCGAGAAACATGCACATTTATCATATTATATTCCCTTTAGCTCATAAATGAAAAGTATTGAGTTATCGGATGTGACGAAATCAATAAAATATGTAAGGCAAGAGTCGTATCACGAAAGTTCTTCCTTTCATAAGTAATCTGTCTATCTCTAATTATTTAAACTGGCCAAAATTACATTTAGCATGCCATACGGTCTTATGTATTGTGCAACGTACAACAGAGTCGTGCGTTTAACTGAATACAATTGATTGATGGGTTAATTCAACTTTTTTATTATATCTTATTGTTGTATGATTTTTAAAAGTGTTTCGATTTTTTTTTCCGGTAAATGCAAGTGCATATATTGTAAAATAAAATGTAACATAATTTTTATTGTATTGATATTGTATGATATCTGAGCTGACTAGATTGAATATTTTACTGTTATTGAAGATCTGGTTGCTTATTCTTATTGGTATGTCTGTCATCACAAAGATTTGACGTTTTTCAACGTTAAGAGATAAACCTATTACATTCGGCTTATTTATCAAATATGATCAAATTAATCTCTTACTTTGACCTTTGACACAGTTATTGGTTTGAACGTTTCCTTAGAGTAATTTAGAGGATTTCTTCAAAGTTTTTATTATATATAAAAATAAATAAATAAATAAATAAATAACTGCCCAATTTAAAAGTATAGTGTTGTATATAAGTGCAGTAGTTTTATATACGACAATATCAACCAATATTTGCAAAATATATGGGATATAAACTATATCAAAATAGAAAAACAAATCCCTTCAAATAACTCAAATTTTCATAATTAAATTTTACTTTTTGCTACTTTTTATTGATATGTGGCAAAATATTGACCAGGACAAAATAAGTCAAATATTTGTCAGAGTTACGGAGCTTTAGTACGTTTAAATGTTGTTTTTTTCACAATGGTGTTATCTTTGTTTCCGCCAATGATACTGTCATATGACTAAGAATGTGCTTGATGTTGCCAGATATGTTGGAACTTGAGATCCTTATTTGTTTTTCGTTAAAACATTTTTAGACATGAACCAAATGATATACATATACATTAATTCATGTAACTGAAATGTTAGATTTTGGTGAATATCCATCAATATGTGCTAAATATGTTGATTGTAATATCATTTTAACATTTTTTGTTTTTTTTTTTTTTTTTTTGTTTTTGTTTTTTTTTTTTTTTTTTTTTTTTTTTGTTTCCGCCATCAACTGTCAGGTTTCAATATAATGCGATGAATTGCTCTCACATGTACAGTAATTATTCGGTATTGTATCTTCCTAACCACATATATATTATGTATGAGAGGGACACAACAAGTGTAATGGGAAATGACTTGTTATATATTTCAACTATAATAAAGGGAGAGGGCCGTGCTGATCGCCAACAGACTGAGACAGCTAATGACCTAACCGGGACATTTGACCTTAAGTCAATGGTCGGAGAGTGGGAAGAGAAGAGGAGTTCCTCTGTTGAGAACAGACATGTGTGAATATTTAGCTGAGGCCAATTAGGTAAAGGTTTCGCTGGTTTTGATATGGACTAATGTAGTATGTGTTGTATTAATTGTTAAAAGATCTGTAATTTGTCACCCTATGTACCATTATTACTTTGTCATCCTATGTGCCATTACTACTTTGTCACCCTAGGTACCATTATTACTTTGTAAATCTTTGTACCATTATTACTTTGTCCCCCTATTTACAATTATTATTTTGTCATTATATATACCATTATTACTGTGTCACCCAATTTATCATTTTTATTTTACAATCCTATATACAATAAATTTTGTTATCTTATGTACTACTAGAAATGTATCGTCTTATGTACCAATTATAACCTTTGGTCACCCTTTTGTACCACTATTGCTCTTTCCTGTTATATATCCCTAAATATCATTTCTTTGTCAGTCTATCTACCATTAAACTGGAATAATTCTTATCCTTTGTCTAATTATTTGTATCACCATAGTACATTATGTCACAATAGGTTATAAAGCATAAGTGTAATAGTTCAAATATTGCAGGTAGTTATTGGACTGAATAACAAGGTTCATTTGATAAAGGTACCATTATTAGTTTGTGAGCTAAATTTCTGGAGATGCATTATAACGCTATTACAGAAAGTTTATTAATAATATAATCATTATAAAGATGACGAGCGTACTGACGTGTATCACGTGTGTAATCTGTTGACCTTGAACATTAACGTCGCATTTCCTAAACGCCAGGTTGAGATTGATCTCCTTAGAGAACGACCTATATATATATATTCGTTTATGTTCTACTTATGTATATCCGCTTAGTACTGAATTCAGTTTCATGTGATAATATACTATTTCCATCTAGTCAAAATTGGTTTGATATTTAATGGTATTCATTCCTTAAAGCTACAACATCTTACATAGAAGCCCGATGTGAAAAATAATAGGAATTGTTGTTTATCAAAATATAAACTATCTTTCACCCCAGTGTGTCAATGTCAAGAACATGTTTCCGTTTTCACAACGATGATCATGATGACCTTTCATAAAATGTGTAATTGTTCAGATACTTATATCGTTGATATGACATTAAAAATTTACTGTATTCTCGGCAATGTGATCTGCTGTATCGTTAACTGGTTTTTTGTACATCACGAAATATATTGAGAGCATGATTTGACTCTTTGGTGTGTGAATACGCGTCTCCTACCGATACAAATATTTATGAAATGTTGGTAACTCGACAGTTTTTACAATATGTCTGGATAAGAAGGAAAATCAAAGGCAAATTTATTAATATAGATACACGTAATATCATTTCGGTACTGAATATTCAGGATATTAGGACAAGTATAATTTATTGATAAGACTAAATTACCAGTGATACAGGTATATTTGAAACATTAAACATAATAAGAAAATGTAACAACGTCTGGAGACGCATTTTAATTGAAAGAGCAATAAGAAAAAGTCAACATGTCAACAAAGGTATAAACAAAACTCAAAATCAATCAAAAATAAATAAACAAAATAAAAAAGGAAGAGTTCCGAAAGGAGAATAAGACCATGTGTTCCAGTAAAGTTTCATCGACGACACCGACCCTGTAATCCATGGTCAAACAAAATAAAAAATGTCATGTCCTAAAATGGGGACAAGGTATATAAAAAGGAAACCAACAGGCAAACTTCCCTTCTCCAACACGTCAAGACTCACATCACACACAGAAATAGAATAGTTCTCAATAAAATCACTATTGAGACTATAAAACTTCCATTTATATTCATCAACCAGTATCTTTTGAACCCCTGTGAACCCCTGAAAAGGACATTTTTCATGTTTTGAAATATTTATTTGAATCATGTGTGAAATAATAATTTTAGCATTCTCAATGCATTCAGAAATAAAGTAGCATTTGATAGTGTTGAAATTTTGAGGTAAAAAATTACAAACAAAATAGTGAACATGTCCATGCACAAATAGTTTGCTGCACTTAATCTGTCATATTACATGTTATAAGGACATTTTGCTTTTCAAACACATTTTATAGGTTGTCCTCAAGTATTATAGATACATCCAAAACACCCGTTTAAGTTTTAAAATGTTTTGGGAAAATGCTATTGTTCCTAAAAGGTACTTCTATACTTAAAATTTCAAATTGATTAATATACTCAATGAACTTACAAGGATGGTCATGGTGGCGGATGCAAATTTCAGGTATTATTAGATAATCGCAAACAATATAATCCTATAAAAGTAATGTCGGAATCATTTCATTTCGTGATTAATGGTCATATATAGAATATATAAAATCCTCGTAATAAATTGTGTTTCGCAAGCCAAAATACCAGTATAGTTACGTTCTTTTAAATGCATACGTTATCATAATTAGTACCAGGAAGTAATAAAGAATTGTTAATTTTTACTTCAAAACTCCATCGGTCACAACAAGAATGTTATTTTGTTGTTCATATCATTTCTACACCTTGCATGTTTTGGTAAGTATATTCGATGAATTGTTTTCAAAATATGAATGTTGTCATAATTTCCAACTTCAACAGGGGCAAAGCTAGTGTTATGCGTGATATGCAAACATAATCGGTCTGTATTCCACATCCTGGCATTGGTTTTGGTAAGTATATTCTATGAATTGTTTTTAAAATATTACTGTCCTTATTTAAACTTTACCTCGAGCAGTGGTAGTGTTTAGTGTTTTATACGATACAGATATTATACACCCTGCCGAGTATGTTCTTACAGTAGCATCATCAAACGCTTTGTAAATGTTTATCACATATACATATATTTTTTGTGACTACAATCTTTTATTAAATGTGTGAAGGCAGTATTAGGCTTAGAAACTTAGATTCATTATTTACATTTGAGATATGAATACTGATCAACGAGCTAATTCTAAGCCTATTCCCAATGCCATTCACTTTGAAAATAGTT